TAATTTTAGTACTTTAATTCAATTACATTTCTTTTTGTCCTTATATTTTAAAATTTAAATTACCATTCAATTACATTTCTTTTTGTCCTCATATTTTAAAATTTAAATTACCAAATTTAATTTAGCTACCGAAGCGCGGAGTTCACATGACATACATATACGTGGCTTGCGCATGAGTGCGTATTCCCTTCCTCATGCTGCTTGCGTCTGAAATCTGGTGTCACAGCGATGAGCGCGATTGTCAAGAGCTGTTATATACGTAATTTAGAGGAATCACGATTGAACATTTATTTGCCGGATAACACGCCAATTTTCGTAGGACGTTCATCAGAAACTGGTATCACAGATACGAGATGCTCGCGACAACAAGGTTTTGTATTTTTCGAAACTTGCTTCTTTTCCTATTATTTATAACACAATAAATACGTGTTTGCTACGCGTTAATACATGATATCTTTGTTTATACAAAAAAGCTGTATTAATAAAGTGTAATAATATCTATGAAAATATCGATAATGATTTGCTCATGATGCTAGCTTGATCTTTTAAGATTTCATTCATAAATTCACTATTGTATAGAGGTTAAGTTTTGTATAGAGGTTATGTTTTACTGTTTCTTTACGGGCTGATTTTAAAATTTTATTTTAATATACAAAATAGGAACAACTGAAAATTATAACTTGTAATTTTGCGGAATAAAATTTTTATATAATTTTGTTTACTTAATTTACAAGATTTAAAATGCATAGTTTCAAAAATTTTTTAAAAATGTAAGTTGCAGTTCAATTATTGAAAGCAATTATTTAATTTCTAATAAAATGTGTTTGCGCTTTAGTTTGTAAGTTATTGTTACGAAAAAATAATCGAGAATTTTTTTAACAGTTCGTTTATGTGCAAATTACACGGATGCCATAGTCACGATTCAGCAAGTTGGCACCCACGCCTGTGGCTTCAACGGTTTCAAGACTTCAAAGGATGTAAAATTTCCTGCCAGGCATAACGATCGCTTGGAATTGTTATATGGTAAATTTGCCTATGAGATTGAATTTAACCCACCGCCATGTATGAAACATCTCGCCTGGAGAAAAAGATCTTACAAACCAGAAGTGGAAGAAACTAGAAATAAAGCAAAAATGCTGAAACTGGATAATCACTCTGAAGAAGAAGAAGAAGGACTATCATCTTCAAATGATGTCAATCAGAAGGAATCTGATGCCGGATCTAGCACAATCCCCGAAGAAAGCAATAGTGACTCTAATGTCTCAGCAAAGTGGGACAGTTTTGATAATGGAAAACTGTTGATTTACACAGCCTCACTTATTCAAAATCGATCAAAAGTAATTTTAATTGCCTTCAAATTTATCTAATTTATATGAAAATAATATAATTATATTGTAACATTACAAACTTATTACAAATTTTTCCAAATGTATTAATGGTTCCATAAATAAATTTTAATTTTAGGTAGCTGCATTTGACATGGATGGTACTTTGATAAAGACCAAGTCTGGCCTGGTATTTCCAAAGGACTGTAATGATTGGCAGCTACTGTACCCTGATGTACCTGGTAAATTAAAGCAGCATCACGCAAATGGATATAAGATAGTGATTTTCACGAATCAAGCTGGCCTGAGCATTGGCAAATTCAAGATCAGCGATTTTAAGGTCAAGATTGAGAAGATCGTGCAGAAAATTGGCGTCCCGATCCAAGTACGATATAACTATAATAATCAGATTTTTATATATTTCAAACTACAATTTTCACTTGAAATCAATAATATGTTTATACTTTTGTTCCTCTCAGGTTTTTATCGCTGTGGGACAGAGCATTTATAGAAAACCATCGATTGGTATGTGGGAATCATTGGAAAAAGAGGTACGCATTTAAATATATGAAGTACACTGAGAAGACATTTATATTTCCAAATTTTGAAATTGTAGAAAAACGGAGGTATTGCGATCGACAAGGATAACTCGTTCTATGTCGGCGACGCTGCTGGTAGACCGAAGAACTGGGCTCCAGGGAGAAAGAAGGATCATTCAAGTGCGGATCGATTAATTGCACTGAACGTGGGCGTCAAATTCGAGACACCTGAGGAACATTTTCTAAAACACAAAGCGCCGCCTTACGAATTACCAAAATTCAATCCAAAAATTTGCCACAGTCTGGCGATATATGCAAACCCGCGGATGCGAAATTGACGCTGACGCAACAAGAGGTAAATAATTAAAATTATTTTATATTGATTGTTATTTAAAACTGGAGAAAAGATAGAGAGAGAGAAAAAGTATCATGATATTCTCTTATGCTTTTAGGAACATAAAATTGTTTAACAATTATTTTTTTGAGAAGTTGTAACATATGTTTAGAAATTAGATATTGGAAAATTTGAAAGAAAATTATTTACTAAGATACGATTTGTATATTAAAATTCTTATTACTCCTTATTTATGGATTTTATTTTTTTCTTAATAGATAATACTTATGGTCGGTAGTCCAGGCTCTGGAAAATCATACTTTGCGAAGAATTATTTGAAAGAATACGAATACGTGAACAGAGACACTTTGGGCAGTTGGCAAAAATGCATTGCTGCTGTCGAGCAGTATTTAAATCAAGGAAAGAGTGTAGTTATTGACAATACTAATCCCGATCCAACTTCGAGACGGAGGTATACCGTGGTGGCAAAGAAGCGCAATGTTCCAGTTAGATGTTTTGTCATGACGACAAGTATGCAACATGCGAAGCATAATAATAAGGTAATGAGAGATTATTAATTGATCTACTGATATAAAAGTTTCATCACACAGAAAGGAATGTTTTGGAAATTTATTTTATTTATTGAAAAGAAACAAATTTGCAAAAATTGCATTTATATTCAAAATTTTGCTTTGATAATTGATAAGTTTTAACAAATAAGTAAGAAAAAATAACGAAATATGTAATATAAATGTGCATATGTGTTGAATGACACAATGATAAATGTCTAATTCTATATTCAAAAAATATCTTTAACGACTTGGTGAATTACATCTCTCATATATCACTGTCGCCTCATATATTTGTGTGAACCGTTAAGAAATCTTTATCTTTTTTATAGTTCCGCGAGTTGACTGATCCAAGCCACATTCCAGTCAACGAATACATTATAAACTCCTACATGTAAGTTGAATTTACATATTTGTGTATATATTCTTCCCCTAAAATTATACATTATTATCGTAAAGAGACATATATAAATAGTATTTATTAATATTTAAAATTATGCTATATGTTTTGTGTGCATAGGAAAAATTATGTAGCGCCAACTTTGGAAGAAGGCTTCAAGGAAATATTAGAAATCAATTTTATTCCGAAATTCCGTAACGAACAGGATCGTAGGCTGTACGAAATGTACTTACTCGAAAGTTGAATCATGTGATCTTATCTGTTTAAACAAACAGTTAATTGTGTACAATGTAAATTGAAATTTATCGTCGCTCATAAATCTGTTGCAATCAGTTTAAGTGTAATCACGTCAGCAATAAAAATTATTATGTATTAAATTATTTATTGAGCATTTCTCAAATATTTGTATTTAATCTACAGAGTATAATAAGATTTATGGCAAACATTTCACATTTTACATTTCATATTTCAACATCTTAATCATCAATTTTGTTGAAATCAATAAATTATCTTTATCTTCGTTCAAGAAGAGTTTTTTTATTTCCAAGATTCTGGAAGCGCCATTAAAAATCAATTTTACTTTTTATTGAAATTTTAATTGAATAGTTTTTAAATTCTATTATATTAAAAATAACGCATATACGCACTTTACTTTTTCGCAAACTTTGCAACGCCTTGCATAATGTTATAATCTGTGCATGCATGTTTGTATTGTTAATTCCTTAATAATTACAGGGAAAGGTTTGTACTTTTTAATCGATATTCGTTTCGCCGCCCGCTGTAGATTGCTTTCAGAGATTTCATTGATTACCGCAACTTATTTACAGATCGTTGACCTTTTTTAAATCGTTAAAATCCCAGTGAAAGAAGCTGCTGGACAAAAGCATAAAAATAATTATACGAGAAGCAATCTTTATCTTCATATTTAATCAAGATCATGATTTTTTTCATACGCAAAAATAGGAGCTCAAGAACCGGGACCGAATCCTTTTAGGGGATTCTCCTCTCTCTCTCTCTCTCTCTTTCTCTTCCCCCTATCGAAATCCTTCATCTGCAGATTGTTAGGCATCCCCTTTAGGTCTTCTGCCGCCAAGCGGTTCAACTATGACTGCATACCATACGTCACGTGTGGCGAAAAGACTGCGCGAGAGACTCAATGCGGCTTTCAGTATCCGCGCAGACGTTGTCGCGGCCAGTCGTGTTTGTCGTGTTGTGCGGTGTGCGTTTCCGTGTGACTATGTGTAACTCTGTGACAAGTCTGTGAGCGACAGGAGCAGCAGGGTGAAAATTCCGTCCACGTGTGACAGGCTGGCGATAGACCAAAGGATGAAGTAAGTACAGCAGCGGCTACGAAGTTTCAGATCGGGTGAAAATAGAGTTTTAAAATGGAAGGCTCAACCGGTCGAGCAACGTCTGCCACGCTCGAGTGTGACGCGGCGAGTTGGTCTTGATCGTTCCTCGATCCTCGCTAAAAATAGTCGTGTTATTTGTTGTAATAGAACATTCTTGCTCTATGAACGCGAAGCGTGAACTGACGGTTCGTAAGCGTAAATGATGATTCGATGATTTAACGGCACGTACAGCTAGAAGACGTGAACTTAGTTCACAGTATAAATTTCCTTGTAATTATTGCTTCGTGAATTATCATCGTGTACAAAACAGCGACAGTGTATTGGAATATTATTTGCCAATAGTTTGCTAATAAACTTCACGGTATTTCCCGGTATTTCATAAATGCGTTCGCAAAAATAAAACTGTTATCTCATGGTAACGCCGGGTTTTGATAAGCAACATTCATGAATATCTACCGGACGAAACCGCTTTCCGTCTCAATATTTCTTCCCGTGTATTAGATTATACGACAATATCTTCCGGTTGTGTAACACATTTTTCCGGTTGTGTAATTCAAATAAATCACTTTCTCGATTCGAATTGCTTCGATATGCTTGATGCGAATCCTGATGCGAAAATAAATACAGGATAAAAATAAAATTACTTCTTGAAATGTCACGATTTTTTTTCCTTGTTAATTGTTCTTTCTTGTTTCAAGAATTTGGGAAAAATTAGTGCCAAATTTTTTAAGAAAATATATATCTGAGAGAAAGCGCACGATGTTCGGTTATTTTTTTTTATATTTACGTAATTATTTTTTTATAATAATAATTAATACAGAACAAATGTATTAAAAATAACTTTAATGTAATGAGAATATTCTATAAATATTTATTCTACATTAATTATTAATGTTAATAACTCTCTAATAAACATTACGTAATATTGATATTAAATTTGAAAAATTCTCTCTGTTTTGGTGACAAAAGTATTAACTATTTAATATTAATAGTTGCGCGACAGTTGAAACACTCGGCATACATATTAATTGTATTCGATCAGTTCAATGATTATTCTCCTTGCGATCGAATACATTCTGCATTGCACGTCACGGTCAAATCGTGAATGATGTGTGCGATATCACGATGTATCAGTGAATGCGTCACTGTGTATCGAGCGTCTCAAAATATTCTGCGTGATACACTCGTGACGTTCTCAGAATGAGATTGTGCCGAGACCAAGTACTTTTGGCATTAACGCCTTATATTCGATATTTTAATTTAAAGTACTGGTTTTGCCAACTTTCTGCTGAATTTGCAAGTCTGAGAGATGTAACTTATTCAATGACACATGTTAGAAGACAATGAAGTCAAAGCTTTAAAAAACTACACGCTTGTGTTTATAAATTATATATAAATCAACAAATTAATTTGTATAATTATTATTTAATTATTCGTATCATCTTTATACATAAATAGATTTTTTATTAATATATTATGTATTTTTGAACATTATCTGAATTCTAAACACGTTTGGATCTGATTTTTTGGGAATCTTCTTCAAAAACAATCTATCTTTATTACAATTCCCAGGTAGCATATGTTCGCTTCATATACGTTTTCTAAACGTATCCAATGTTTTCATATACGTTAGGAAATATATGAAACGAACATGTGCTACCTAGGTTGTATTATAGAATAAACGTATGTTTATCTTACGATATACATATAAAATATACATATACACAGTATACATTGTACACAGTATGCTGTAATTTTTTTTATTTAGAGATAAATCTAAAATAGTTTTCTTTTAATAATTATTTTCGTCTCAAATTTATTCTTTGTATATTCCTAAATTTTTCAATGATATTATATTTTATCTGAAAATAAGAGAGAAAGAGAGAGAGAGAGCACGCTTTTCATAAAGGCATGCCTCTTTAACTTGAAATTTTGAAAAATATACCCGCTCTACTTTCATTCTGAATGTGATCAGTTTGCGGTCACGTTTAACTGTTGATATCTAGCTAATATATGTTGGCTTGTTTTGTTATCCATATCACGTTCTGGCGTGCCCGAGTTGCTTTTAATTCCTATCAATCAACATATTTCCTTTCAATGTACAAATTCGTGGAACTTTCCTTGATGTTTTTACATGTGAAAAGTCTTTTTCTGGCTTTCAGAATGAATTAGATTGTTCAAATTCTGAAGAATTTGATTAAGAATAGCAAAGTTTATAAAAAAATTTTTTAAATTCTTTGATATTTTTGAATTTAAAATATTTTGTAAGTTAATTTTTCTTGATGTTTTTTATAAAATTCTTTTATACATCCGTTCTTGTCTCACTACATTTTTCAACTTCTGAAAATCTCTTAATCCAGACATTCATTTTAATCGCAATAAGAAATTAGAAACAAGTCGTTTTTAATAGAACAATTAATGCTGAAAGCATTTGAATAAGTAATTTTTTCTGAAAAATTTTCTATGTTCTAAATTCAAAAATTTGTTTTTTGCGGCTCGAAGAGCCGCTTTGCAAAGCATTATTTATTTAATTGTGCGTCCAATGTGAGTTTCAACTGCTTACAACCAGACTGAATTCAGTGAAGATTACTCACACAACACTGAACAATTGACCTATCGTCTCACAAACTAAGCCGTGGCAAGTTATTGCTATAACACGCAGTGCACTGTTGTCGAGAGTTTAATTGCTCCTTAATAAGTCCTGTAGCACGTGGAGCGAGATTGTCGTAATCGTTTTTATTAGGAAATCCATTTGACATCACATTACTGTTTTGATACTAAAATAAGCAATGAAATTTCGAAATATAACGGAAAGATCAATAATAATGAATGATAGTGGGAATAGATAAAATTAGTGAATATATAAATATTAAATAAAATAAAGTAATCAAGAGACACGGTAGTGTGTCATGCCAAGTAAATATCTACTGCACGTTATTTACGCTTGATCACTATAGTTGTCTTATCAAACTGAAAAGAATTGAAATGAAATTGAAGAACCATTTTTTATATTGATATCACTATTCTATATTAATTGCTAATTCATATAATAAAATATCTTGCACCTCAAAATTTGTTAGCCATTTTTATAGCTTTTTTCTCTGTTAATTTTTTTTATAATAGTTAAACTTAAAACCACATTTTTTATAAGAAAATAAAATATAAAACATTATCTTTCTGATTGTAGCAGAAAATATCAAAAGATATTTAATTAAGGAATTAAATAAAGAAATAAAAATGTTTGAATATTTTGAAGGGATTAAAAAAAAGATAACGAAAACGATACGATAATGAATAAACATATTAAATACTAAATAGAATAATTAATTAGATTAAATTCACATTTTTGATGAAAGAATCAGAAATGTTTGTAGTATCTTTACATTTCACAAACTAAGATAACTCAGTGAAGTTGATATTAACGATAATATCAGGAATAATAAGAGGTGATTAGGCAAATAAAGAAAGTTGATACATGATTAAAGTTGTACGTGATATTTACATATTAATGCTATGTTCTTATCATTGTATTTGCTACCTGCTGTGCTTGTTTACGTTCCGTTAATATGTGAGTAGTGTCGTATAACGTCAATATTGATAAATTTGATTGTTTAAATCTCATTTAGCTAACGTATTGTACAATTTCGATATTTTACTGATAATGTACAATTTTTAGTACTCTTTCTCCTTAACGTGTAACTCTTAATATGCATGGAAAAATACATCTGTGAGAGCTTTTGTTCATATATTTATCTTTTTTATCAAGACAAATAACAGAACACGCAATGAAGTTAGCCCGCTTATTTTAGAAACTCTTTGTTTATTTAACTATTTAACGGCATGCATGGTCATTCATATTTTAGCCAATTTTTGACAGTATCAAACTGCTCAAAAAATTTTGGAAAGATTTGCTTATAAATTAGCATATTTTTCGAGAACATGTAAAGATACGTGTTTATAAAGAAAAAAAAAATGTGTAAAAAATAAAAAAAAACATAATTAAAAAAATATATATAATTTTAGTAAATTAAATTTGAACTATTAATTAAAGAATTAGCATTAATTAACTAATTAAGATCGAGTGAAAAGATGTGTCACTGCAGGATTAATCAGATTTATAATAATCTCTTATTATACTCTTATCGCAAAATATACAGTTTAACAATCGGAAGCCTGCGAGCCTGCTCTTTTAAATACTAGTTCATTCCTGCCTGGTGAACGATTCCACGACATTGCGAGCCGCAGTTCTATTAAGGAAACGGTTATATAACTCCGTTACTGTTCCGCGTCCGCGGCGGCAATTATTCCTCTAACCATTGATCGCGTAACTCGCTAAGTCAACATCAAGTTATTGTTCTTTTTTAGATCTGATTCTAGCAGGGTCAAGCCGCGCTGATACTTTTATTTCTGGCTTAATCCGGCATGCAAAATACTCCGTATACCGCGCGTGCAAGGAAAAGACTATGTGTCTCTAGTCGTCATAATGCTATGTGTTTAGTCATGTTCGCAAAGCCGATTTTCTCTTGAACAAAGTCTACGAGATATGAAAAAATTGCTACTTTGATGCTGACATTTATGTTTCCACGTAAAATTATCATCGCTTACTGAACGGCGCTGTATATGCAGCATATCTTATGTTAAAATTATTATATTAAAATAATAAGTTATGCTGTAAAAGAGAGAGATATCACACACCATGCACGCGTTATTATACATATATTATTATTGTAATGCTGTGTATAATACTGCTAGAAAGGCACATCTTGCCACACGCGATAACAGATGTACGCGAATTTATTACAAATGGAGATAATTACATTTTTCATAATAAATATGCGAATATCCGACTCTTACGCATAAATCAACTCATAATTTGCCGAAGAGATACTAACGATATTCCGCTATACATTATTCATGATCAATACAGATGACTATGCTTATCACGCTATGTCACGATGCTATGAATCTTTCCGAGGAAACTTTGTACACGTGTTAATGAGATTTGCATATTGCGTATCGTAATTTGCGCGATGTGTCGTGATATTAGTGCGTTTAAAAAAAATAGCAACATCTCTTTATTGCGATCGTTTGTTTATCAATAATTATCGTAATCATTTCCAAACATCTCGGGCACGAAATAACGTAGTTGCCTTCGCTTTTTTGTTTTAACATTTTGTCATTCTCAGTGCAATCTTGTGTTATAAATTTTTATCGCGAGATGTCTACTCGTTATATCATCGCGGTTTCATAATATTGAAATTTGCCAGAATTGCTGTGACAGCTAATTCGAAATAATCCCGCGTGTAAAACGCATGTCGTTCACAACCTTGCACTTGCTCCAGTTTTATTGTCTTACGGAAATCGTATTTTTAACTCGGAGCGTTTCAGTACGTTGCCCAAGGCGATGTCACGCCGTTGCACGTGACACTCGATTAGAAATTATGCTCGATAGATTTATCATGAAAGTTCGAAATATCAGAGATAAAATCAGTGTAAATAAAATAAAGATAACAAGTGGAAAAATGTCAAGAGTTCTGTCTTAATATAATTAGTATCAACAAAATAATGAATACTAAATTACATTATTAATAATAATTATAGTATTAATTAACGATTAGTAAGATTAACGCTTCTCAAGAAGATTAACGTTTTCCATTTTATCAATAAAATAAATAAAACAATGCAATAAAAACAGCAATGCATATCGTTCGACAAATAAAAAGCGCTAACAAAAATCAGGTATTTTAATGTGCTAACATTAATTGCTGACATTTTCTTTTTAATAATAAATTCGAGTCTTCAAATAAGTACTTTGAAGTAATGCCAAGTCATGTGGGAGTGTTATCGTTTCGCTATCACGTATACGACTGGTACAACTCTCTCGCAAACATCTCCGGATGACGTGTAGCGTGCATGCTTGCGATATTCCCACTTTTGTTCATTCAAAGACTACAATTAGCCTGCGAAGAGATCTAAAAGAAGACTCGTAAATAATTTCATAAATTAAATTGATAAGATTCTCGGCGCCGCATTGGCGTATAATTTTCCAATTTCGCAACTATGAGCAGTGCTATACCCGTTTTACGTTTTCGTATTGTGTGCGTACATGATTTTCGCGGATAAATGTTTTATACATTTTATATTTTACGCACATATTTTTCTTCAATCACCACCCAATATTATTTTACTGCAACAAAGCAACTGTATCTCTTTTCGCTTATTTTTATTTTCTCCTTTGCTGCTTTCTGTTCATTTTGATTTAATTTGATCTGTGTAATTGCACAGTAGCGCGCCTAATAAAGACTTTTGCTGGAAATATATAAATATATATTGGATATTTGTAAAACCTCAAAGAAGGACCCGAGTCGCCGACTCTAATTTATGTACTTATTGCTAGCAGCAGCCAAAAATTCAGGTTTGGTTTTTTCCGTGGCCTTGGTGGCCCCCATTAAATCTGTACAGTTATGGACGTAACAAAAGACGGCAAGTTTAGAGACACATACAGCGGTCGTTTTTCAAGCTTATTAAATTTTATTTTAAATCTAGTTTCTCTAAGATTTTCTATCAAGATATTTCTCACTTGTACAAAGTAATAATAAGCGTGTTTTATATTGTTATTTGATAGATTTAATTATGCAACGCGTAGGAATTTTTGTCTTCAATTTTATTTTTTTTTTATAATGAATCTAAACAGTTTTATTTAAAATTGTAGAAAGTTTGCAATTTATCTTTGCGAGTGATAAAACTTCGAGATAAAAAACTGATTCCACAAGTTTATTTCAATCCGGAAAATTACAATTGAGAACGCATTTAATAAACATCGCGAAGATAATAAAGCACGTAATAGTCTATTTATTATAGAATTTTATTTATTTTATTTACACTATTAATTCTTGCGTGAAGCACGACACCATTGAGAAGCTTAGTCAACAACTGATAAATCCTGCATTTTCTTCGCGGGTCAAAGTGTTAAATGGATTTTCCCCTTAAACATTACTTTTTAGCATAATTAGTTTGTTAACCTTATATGAGGATAAGTCGAGTATATAAATCAGGAAGAGCTTCGATAATGATATTTCATCGTATTGCGTAAGCGTGTTACATAGGATATTTATCGAAATATATATTGTTACGTATAATAACAATAAGTTTCGAATTTTTATTGCGCGTACAAATCATCATTTTTAATAATAATTTTTAAATTGCGTAATTTCTCAATCTTGCAATTACTGATTCAGACTATTTAATTTGCTAATCTTGTTTTTGATTCCAATTCTATTTTACATTTAATTTCTCAAATTTCTTTAATTTAAACTTTAGTTTTGTTTTTAAATTTCTTGTTTAATTCTTAAGATTCTTCATGATGTTTGATTTCATTATATGTAAAATGCAAGTCACGATTTAACACTACGACCTTCCGGTGTTAGTTGAGAAATGACACAGCAAGCAAACAAGTCGCATGTAATTGAGATAAGGTTGTTCAGACAAATGATACGAAGTTTTCGTTTAAGTGTAGATACACAAAAATATTCGAAGAGTACTCACTTGGATACTGAACTGACAACTTGATTGTTCCCCGTTTTCTGAGATCTGGTATCACCAATTGCTACTGGCGCGTACATTTCTCTCACAACGACAGCGACGGAAAGAGATGTAAAAAAAGCGATTTTTGATTAACAAACGGTAAAAACTTCAATAAGTTAAAATATCTTTAAAATTTAATTATTATAATAATAAAAATATCGGCGTCGAGCTGACGAAAAAGGAATTGTTATTTACATATTACCATTTACATGTAAAATAATTATATATAATAGTAATAATTTTATTTTAATTATAATTATTATATACAATACGCTGTTTCCAATAAATGTAATAATTTTCTAAAAAATTTTTAGAAAATTGCGGACGTCTTGAGAATCAGCACTTGAAGAATCAGCATTCGATAATAAATCTCAAGAAGTGACAGAAATTTGCGCGGTATCGATCCAGTGGCTGATATCTTGCTTTTGTTTCAAGAGGATCAACGAAGATACAGATAAAACCGCCATAATCGATCGTGGGAAATCAAAGATACAACGAGATACGTGAAGTGCTACTTTCAATCTGATTAAAATCGTGCGAAGAGATCGCGCATTGTGTTAAGGGGCTGATAATCTTAGTGTTTCAAAGACAATCTTTCATGATAAGTGAAAGTAGGATATTAATATCGTACATTGTTAATACAGTGAATAATTTTTTAGCCACTAGAAAAAAAATATCAAGCTGACGCGTGTGTCGATATCTGATAAGTTAATCCATCATTTATAATCGTGGTTGAAGTGGCAGTGCGCGCGAGTTAATGCCGCGCGTAAGAACTGATGGATTCAACGAAAATCAACTCGAAGCCAAATCCAAGGGAGAAGGCGAATATTATATCAGTCTTGCTGTGGTTGTAAGTTGTGCCATCTTCTTAATCATTAACACAAATCATCAGACATGCATTTTAAAAAATTAACACAAAATTACAATATTATAATATATTATAAAATATAATTTTGGAATCAGCTGTTGAAGATGTAAGTTTTCACACGTAAATCTACAGTTTGCAAATAATGAAACTGATTGCACAATATAAAATAGTTATAAATTTATTCGTGTGACTCACTTCATTACAATAAGAAGCAAGCTGGAAATTTACATATATAATAATTGGTTTCAAAATTATCCGTAATAATAATTTTACATTCATTTTTTACATTGCGAAACTTTTTCTATCTTAAATTAGCAAAGTTCAAAGCTATAAATATGCTCGAATATGTGAATAATGATAAGATGTGGATTGAGTATTAAATTTGTTCGTTGTTTGAATATTTAAACGTACAAAACTTGAATATTTCGATATTTTTTTAGATATTTATAAATTACTTAAATATTTATACATTTGGAAGTTTAGATGCTTGCAAGTTTAAATATGTAAAGAATTAGACTTTTACTTGTTTAAGTATTTAAATTTTTAATATTTATAATATTCAATCTTTATAAATATTTGTTGTGTTAATATTCATACATAAAACAAGCTATTAAATGGCATTTCGAAATAATAGTGCAAATTTGGCATGACGCAAGACTGTTTTTTACGTCTAACTAGTCCTTATCTTCATATAAGTCCTATCTTCATATTTACTTGTGTCTGCAAAGATGAGATTGCATTTTTCAAAGTCAACGAGACACATTGTTGTGTCGCTAAGATATATGTTACATTGAGACATTTCCAGTTCTTTGATTTCAGCATATTTTTATTGTTGCACCACTCATAATTCAACGTAACTAGTCGTAATAAAATCCGTAATCTTTAATTTACATAAATTTCTTCGAATCAGATGGACCCTTAAATTATTCCGGACAGGCTACAAGAAAGTTCTAGAAACAGAAGACTTGTTCGATCCTCTGAAGAGCGATCGAGCGAATTTACTCGGCAATCGGTTAGAAAAGTGAGTATCGGTTGGAAATTGTATGTAAATAAAGAGAAGTGGAAAGAAAATAAGAGAAGAAATGTTTAGAGATACTTTCTCTATAGATTCTTCTTTCATAAAGACACAAGATAATTGTACTAACGTATAGCGTATTGATGTGCTTGTAGACGATGGTACATCGAGCTGGAAAACTCGAGGAAAAAGAAACGCAAACCGAGTCTGTTAAGGACTATTTTCCGCACATTTATATATGAGTATACTCTACTTGGGTTGATACAGATTCTTAATGAGTTTATAATAAGGTATTTACTTATCATTTATCTCTATTATTCTCTCACAATTCATTTTCTTTAAATTCGCTGCGAACGATCTATAATTCGCGACAAAATCCGAGATAGAAATCTCTTCAAAGTTTTAAGTCCGCTTTGGACGATTTGTGATGTGTATGAAGTTAGCCCCACACTTTAATAAAATTAAAATAATCGAAATTGTACTGCATTGTACTAGTTTTGTACCAAATTGTACCGTAGTTAATTTTTTGAAATCACGCGCGGATTTCCAAAAAATCGAAATTTTTGAATTTTTTTAGTAGCCCCACTTTTCGAAAAATGATTTTTTCTCGACTGTACTACATTGTACTAGTTGTACCGAACATTGTATCGTTTGAAAAAAATTCCTAACAAATTTGGATTTTGAGAAAAACGAGAAAATCGAAAAATTTTGAACATTACGTAAATACGGTAACTCGGCTATTTTTTAAGATATCGAAACGCGGCCAACGGGGTTTGAAAGAGAATTGTTTGTACCGGTTTGTACCGCTTTGAATTTCGTTTGCACCTCAACCGGACCGGAAGTACCGAATTTTGCAATTTTTAACAATACGTAAATACGGTAACTCGGCTATTTTTTAAGATATCGACCACGAAAAACATTAAATTCATGCTCAGCGTGACGAGCTCAAAAATTTTAATTTGCGGAATATGAAAGCTCATAAATAGCTTATAATTTTGCGCTATTGGTTTTTTTATTTGTGCAAGGTGGGGGGGGGGGCAGCTCGACAGGGGTTTTTGATTCTTGAAATATTTTTTTCGTATTGGAAGCGTAGAAGCGAAGTTAAAAGCCGACATATTAGTGAAACAACATGGGCTTTGTCGCTAGCTGTTGATAAATTTCGTAAATAAAATTCTCTAATATTTAAGACAGTCAATAAAATGAGTGCAATTTTAAGCTTAACTTTTTGCTAACAAAAAATTAAGAAATATTTGTCAGATTTGGAAAGATTCTTATCTTTTTTATGATTTTTATGATTTTATTATATGACAAAATGTTAAATCACTTATCTAATGTTTTATGGTTAGTTATGGTTATGGTTATGGTATAATTGATACGTCAATACAAAGTGATAAAACTTTAACAAACAGATAAGCTATTTAAAAGACGTGTAAAATTTTTTTAAGACGTAAGAAATTTGAATTATATTCTTTTTAAACATCTAATATAATATTTTAGATATCATATGTATTCTCTAGTTCTCCAATGTGTCTACGATGTGTTTTAAAATAGTCACAACAATAAAGTAATATAATAATTATTAATGTGCAACTATAGTAATTATCTGTGAGTCGTATATGATTTAAGACAGTAGTATATATTTAATAGCGTTTGCTATCTAAAATTCATGAATTATGAAAATTGTTAACGTGCGGAATGACTTCGCAGATTAGGCACGCCGTTACTGCTGGGAGGTCTCCTGCGCTACTTTCGGAAGGATTCAACGGAAAGCTACGAGAATGCTCTATGGTATGGGGCTGGCATTTCCATAGCTACTGTCATATATGTGATAAGCGGTAATCAGACGATCTTTGGTGCTTTTCACGTAGGTGCAAAAGTTCGCACAGCCGTCTGTTCCGTGATATACAGAAAGGTTGGTCGCTCAGATTAATTTTGTTTAAAAAAAAAAACTATTAGAAAAATCATGTTAGTCCTCGCAACAAGCAGTTAAATATTTTTGTCCTGTTCTTTTTTTTAATATAATAATTTCATATAATTTTATTATATTTTTCTTTTATTATATATCAATTTGATCTTGTAACCGATTGAATTTCTATCTTTTTGTCGTACACTCTTTGACCTGATTTTTTTTTTAATTTTTCAAATCTCAAGAATTCTAACAAGTCTAACAAGTCCTAACAAAATTAACAGGTTTCAACAAGAATGACACTTATATAATGGTCATATATTGTTAAAGTTTTGTTTTCGTAAGTTGCATATTTCTCTTGCAACATGATCTATCAGCGCGTTAATCAAGTTACGTAACGTGTTTTGCATTTATCTCGTAGGCTTTACGTCTGAGCAAAACCGCATTGGGTGAAACGGCACCGGGAAAAGTGGTCAATCTAGTGGCCAACGATGTCAATAGATTTGATCTGGTCACCATCTTTATCCATCACATGTGGTCGGCGCCGTTATGCACCATAATCGTGGGTTATATTCTTTATGCGGAGGTTGGCTATGCCGGTTTAATCGGTATCGCCATCATCTTCGTGGTGGTACCAATTCAATGTAAGTCCAATAAATTCTTAAAAGATTTTGTGGAGAATATCTACAAAAGTTCTAATTGGTTCTTTAGCTTCAAGGGATGAAAAAATTCTACAGAATAGATTATAAAAAAATATTATACAAAAATAATTGTTTTCGAATTCTCTCGAAGAGAACTTGTACGCAATTGAATAAATTGCTTTCGGCGCAGAATATTCATTTATTGTCGCGATTTCAGCCTACACCGGCAAGCTCTCGTCAAAGTTCCGTCTGCAGACTGCCATCAAGACGGACGAGCGGGTCCGGCTGATGGACGAGATTATATCCGGGGTGCAGGTGATCAAAATGTATGCTTGGGAGAAGCCGTTCTGCGCTATGGTCGAACTTGCGCGCAAGCTCGAGCTGCAGGTGGTCACCAAGAGTTCGTACATCCGCGGTATCTACATGTCATTTAATCTTTTCACAACTCGCATGGCGCTTTACTGCACACTCGTGACGATGTTGTTGATCGGGAACGAGCTGACCGCCGACAAGATTTTCGTTATCATGTCTTACTACAATATTCTCGCGCACACCATGACCGGCATGTTCGTGCGTGGGATCGCTGAGCTGGCCGAGTGCAATGTCGCTATACGTCGGCTCCAGCGCTTCCTCATGTACGAGGAATTCCAGAGCACGAACGTCGTTATGTCTAAGTCGTCTTCCGGCTACGCCAGCATTAATTCGGATCACAGGAAGATGAGCAAGCTGGATCTGCCTTTTATCGACGATGACGTCATGGAGAACAATGATAATACGAACGGAAGTACCGATCGCCTAAGGCACAACGGACTAGTGATTGTCGCCAGCGACTTGTTGAAGAACACTGCTAGTCTCGTTGCGGGTAAGTTTGCTGAGCGAGACCATTTCCTTATGCCATAATTCTTCTCTTCGGTAACAAAGTTTTTCATGAAATAAAATGCTAAAAAAAACCTCTTCAGTATCTCTTTAACGTCAAAAAAAGAATATAAATTTATTTGATTTAATTTAATTTCAGTTTAATACAATTTTTTTAATTGTACAAAATGTAAACTTTGCTCTTTCTGCAGGGAAGACGCGGTCGTCCGTGTGCGACGATAACTGCGCTATCAAAATGATCAACGTGACCGCTAAATGGGAGGAGAGGCAGCAGGAAAGCACGCTGGAGAATATAAATCTAACGATAGAGAAGGGCAAGCTGTATGCAGTGATCGGCATGGTGGGCAACGGAAAGAGTTCTTTCCTATCCGCGATTCTGGGCGAGATCGGCCTGACTGGCGGCCAGATAAAGGTCAACGGTGATATCAGCTACGCCAGTCAAGAGGCCTGGGTTTTCGGCTCTACTATCCGGCAGAACATACTCTTCGGACAGCCCTACAATCGCCATCAATATCAAAATGTGGTCAAGGCTTGTGCCTTGCAGCGTGACTTCAAGCAGTTCTCGCAAGGCGATCAGACTATCGTCGGTGAACGGGGCAGCTCGCTATCTGGTGGTCAGAAAGCTAGGATCAACTTGGCCAGGGCTCTGTACAGGCAGTCGGATATCTATTTGTTAGATGATCCTCTGAGTCGCAGTGAGTGATCATTGAAGAACTAATAATTTAAATGAAAATTGAAATTAAAAAGATCGCTCATTTTTTCCATAAAATTTTCGTAGCTTGATAACAATATTTTCTTCAATATTTTGTTGATAAATACATGCAGTGTGTAAATAATTTGACGAATTTTATGAACAAAGATGATCTGGCAAATTAAATTTTGCATTCAATTGTAAATTTTAATCTTTTTTCCTTACGTAAAATTCCAGGTCGATGCACATGTTAGCAAACATTTGTTTGAAGAGTGCATTCAGAAATATCTAGCCGGGAAGACGAGAATCTTGGCGACGCATCAGTTGCAATATATAGTGGGAGTGGATGCTATCATATTGCTCGAGCAGGGCAAAATGACGTACTTCTCACACTATCAGGATCTGTTAGCTTACCGACCTGAGTATGGAATACTTCTGGCCGCAGAGAACGAAGTAAACGACGACACAGAGAAAAAGATGGATGACATAAGACGACAGTTTTCCTCCTCGAGTAACAGAGTAAGTGATAATACGGATAATTAAATAATAAATTTACATGCAACATAAAAATTCAAATAATTATACGTTACTATTTTTTTATCGATTTTTTTTAAAGACATGCTGTGACTTAAAGATTATTTGGAAAAATAAATTAGATTTAATTTTTGCAATTTTGATTGATAATTTATATGTTATTTTAATAAACGAGATCTAAATAAATGCATAGGAGAAATGTGTTATTAACAACAAAATTTTTTTAACAGAGTCGCACACCGGATATCAGCAGTGGTGGCACAGACGACGAAGACGAAGATGAAGACCCCGAAAGGCTGCATGACGGTCTCGAGGGGACATCGCGCGGAATAGTTAAGGGACCTATATTCATCAAATTCTTTCGAACCGGTACTAATCTAATCCTGGCTTTTGGTGTTTTGCTCCTATTTATCATTACACAATGTATCGTCAGCTACAACGACTACTTTGTGCCTATCTTGTGAGTATTATGAGACATTATAAAATAAAACGGTTAAATAAGTCTACACATTATTGTGTAATATAATTTAATTGAATCATTTCTTCAATTTTTGTTAATTAATTTTCAGTATTAATTTTTTTAATATTTTTATATTCTCAGCGAATATTTTTCGACCGTCACTTGAATCCACTTTAATCGCTTTAGTTATTGACGAGTGATTTTTCATTTAAATCGATTTTTTTCAGAATCAATTCCGAGGAGGCGCGACATTATCAAACTAAACTTAACAATTGGAATCAGACGGAATCAAATGTCAATGGGACGAATTACGACGAGGAAATCGAGTGGTCGGTGAAAAAAGACATCTACATCTATACAGGTATCGTGCTGGGCATCTTCATCATCGCCATCACTAGGTCGTTGGTCTTTTACAAAACATGCATGACGTGCAGCCAGCGTCTACACGACATGATGTTCAGCGCGCTTATCCGCACGGGGATGCGATTCTTCGATACAAATCCGAGTGGCAGGATCCTTAACAGATTCTCTAAGGATATGGGCGCCATTGACGAATTGCTACCCAAAGCAATACTGGACGCCGGCCAGATGAACATGATGATGCTGGGTTCTGTGGTGGTAATCTGCGTGGTTAAGCCCATTTTTCTAGCGCCTGTCGTTTTCATCAGCGTAATATTCTACTTGATGCGTAAAGTCTATCTTAAGACCAGCAAGAATGTTAAGCGACTCGAAGGGATCGGTATGTCCGCTTTGCTTCTCTCACTCAGTGTTCATTCAGAATTTAAAATAATTTTTCGTATTTATCAGTTGTTGTTTGTATTTATTAACTATTAATTTTTATTATTTGCATTATATATTTATAACTTTATCAATCTTCCAATTATATAGAAATTGAAAATTTGTTTACTTATATTTTTGAAACGATATATTGTATTTTTATCATTTCTAAATTGTAATTTTTTTTGTTTTTCACAACCTTATGATTTATTTGCAGTTATTTTGTAGTCTTTAAATTTATTTTCTGACAACAGAATGGTTTTCATAACAGGAATATTTTTTATGTTTTAGCACGTTCGCCAGTATTCACTCATTTAAATGCAACATTGAATGGTTTAACGACCATCAGAGCATACTGTGCCCAAGAAATACTCAAACGGGAATTCGACAAGTTGCAAGATGTACATACTTCCACTGTTTACATGTACATCGTAACGAGCACTGCATTTGGATTTTTCTTGGATATATTTTGTTTTCTCTTTACTACAATCGTCATTTTCACCTTCTTGCTATTCAGTCAAAGTAAGCATGAATTTTTTAAATTAGTATCAAAAAATAGTACAATTGTTTTAATTTCTTAATTTTTTTTAATTGTTAAGTAATTAATAATTAAATATTTTTGAAAATTTCGTCAAAAATTAGAAAAGATTATTTCTTACTAAAGTTATTTATTAATATATTTATAATAAAACTTTGTCTTATAAACTCCACAAATGAAATAATGATTCATGACCTAAGAAAGTTTTCTAAAAATGGATCAGCAAAATTAAGGTGGAATGTTGCATTTTTCAGACTTTAGTGGCGGCGAAGTAGGATTGGCCATTACACAGGTAATGTCAATGACTGGAATAATCCAGTGGGGAATGCGACAAAGCGCGGAGGTTGAGAACCAAATGATGGCAGTAGAACGCGTGCTCGAGTACATTCAGCTTTCACCGGAGCCAAATTTGAAAGATCGAGGAGCGTTCCTAAAGAAGAAGGACAAGCAAAATCTAGCGTTGCCAGCCGAAGTTCCAAAGACCTGGCCTGACGAAGCCTGCATTAAATTCAAAAATGTCTACATGCGCTATGCGGACGATGACCTGCCTGTTTTGAAGAACTTAAATATAGTGATCTATCCAGGAGAAAAGGTATGGGCATTTTTTAATCTTTGCACAATAGATTTAACAATTATCTAGAAATTGCACAAAGAACAAGCAGGAAAACATTTATCTTACGATTCCGATAAATTTTGCAATTCAATTCCGTAAAAAATAATAAATTTATTTTATGAAATAGAAATTCATAAGAGACTAAAATAAATTAAATTTGAATTTTTCTTAATTATAATATAATAAAAGAAGAAAAAGTAGAAAATGAAACATAATTAAGTGAAATGCGATTATCACATAGGTTGGCATTGTGGGAAGAACAGGCGCTGGAAAATCATCGCTAATATCCGCGCTATTCCGATTGGCGAAGGTGGAAGGAGTCATCGAGATTGATGGCAAGGACACGGGTTCAATTGCTTTGGAAGACTTACGACGTAAAATATCTATCATTCCCCAAGATCCCGTTTTATTCTCAGGCACACTAAGGCGAAATTTAGATCCCTTCGGCGAATTCGCCGATCAAGATTTGTGGGAGGCACTTGAAGAGGTTTGTTAAGTAATAATTTCCAATTTAAGAAACTGCGTTTAATGAAAAAAATGTAATATTGCAACTTCCAAACATCTCAATGTCTCTCTATCTATATTTTAACATTTCTGAGTCTCATAGTTTCGAGAAGATCTTAACATCTTAAAATATCAAAAACACAAAGTTGTAGAATTTTAAATTTTAAATATCTGAGTTCTGAAGAGTGAGACGTCACATTAAATAATTATGAGCACGTAATGTTGTCTAACAATATCTTTTGTAATGTATTTCAGGTTGAGTTGAAGGAAGCGGTTATCGCTAACGGAAATGGCTTACAAAGTCGCGTATTTGACAGGGGTAGTAATTACAGCGTCGGGCAAAGACAACTGGTATGCTTGGCGAGAGCTATCCTGAGAAACAACCTTATACTAATGTTGGATGAAGCGACCGCGAACGTGGATCCACATACAGACGCACTCATCCAACGTACTATCAGGAAGAAATTTGCGACCTGCACGATGCTCACAGTGGCACATCGATTGAACACTATAATGGACAGCGACAAAGTTCTAGTAATGGAGAAAGGCCGTATGGCTGTAAGTACAGCCTAGAAAAATACATTTTTATCCACAATTTTTTTCTTCCTCGAAAAGCTAAAGATATTAGATTTTAGAACCTTTAAATCTGAAGATTTCTCGCAAATTCGAGAACTTAAAATTTTGAAAAAATCCTGAATCTTCAAAATTTTATCTTGGAATTTTTATAATTATTCTTTTCTTATTTTTATGTTTTTTCAAAATATTTATTTTTTAAGTATACTGTTTGAAAGGATTTTATATTATATATTATATCTATATTTTTATGACTTATCTTGAGATCTCTTAATAACGCAACAATTCCAATAAAAAATAGGTATTATAATTAAATTACAATTTGGCGTCGATTTTTCTTGCAGGAATACGATCATCCTCACATGTTGCTGCAAAACAGCCATGGTCAATTCACTTCGTTGGTAAGAGAAACCGGCCCGGGCATGTACGAACAATTAGTCAAGGTGGCAAAACAGTCATACGTAAAAAAGTATGGCGAAACGTAACGAAGCACGGGCGGATTTTGATATTAAAACTTTTTTTTTTTGTTAGTTAAATTTTTTTTAGATTTATAAGTCTCAAGGACATGCTGTTACATGTCTTTCTTTGGGACACTATCCTGCAGACACGATATTTTTGTTAAGTATTATAACGTGTGATGTTAAATATATAGCGTTGAACAAATCCATATTTTTGTATATCATATTATTGTATTTAATGAACAGTGAGATCGCTGTCATAATCCTGTCATAATATTAAGTACAAGTCTTAAGCCATGATACTCCTATATTTTTCTACTCTACATTTTGCATTACTTCCAGAAAGCACAAATATTTAAGACAATTTGATATTAATAAAAAATGTAATATTATATTGACACGATGTATCGGAAAGAAAACCAAATTTTTTAAATTAAAACAACCGTCAAATATAGTCATACTGTATTACAATTTACATATAATATCAGATTTTTTATTAATTTTAATGATATATTAGTAAGATATATAAGAAATATATTTTATGTATAAGAAATATATTTTTGCTAATATATTATATAATATAATATATTGTGTCATATTATATATATATAGATATATATATATATGTATATTAATATGAATTTTTTTTTAATATATTTTAAATAAAATAGATTTTATTAAAATATATTATATTATTAATATAATAATGAAATTGTGTTACATCCATCTTGTCACAATTACACATATTACACATTGTACTTTATATAATATAGAACTGCGTTTGAAACAAGTTTTACATATATAGATATTCACCTATTATTGATAAAGTTATTTTTGGAATTTTTTTACTATTCCTCGCTGTTAATTTTTCACGGTTGAAATAATTAATTTTTCTTCTCTTTATATTTTATTTAGTCAATTGTACATTCTTGCGCAAACTGCTGTATTATAAAAAGTTAAGTAAATTGTTGTAAGGTTCGCGTATAATAAGTTTACGATAAGAGATATGCACACATGTACGAATATTGTATATAAATAATTAAGAAAACCAAAGTACAACGAAATACATAAGAAAGTAAAATTTTCAATTAGGATTGTATTTATTACTCTCTTGCCTCTGAGTGATATAATATTGCATCACTTAATTATTTTTTATGTGCTATTGTTATTATTATCTATTTTACTAAAAAGAATAATTTATTCACGCCTAATTTTAACTTAAAATTTTGAAATTTAATTAAAAATAATATATTAAATTTATTGCACCATTGTAGATAAAAGTAGTAACCAAATCTAATTTGTTGAAATCTAAATTTAGTAAATAAAAAAACATTAATAGAATTTTTGTTTTTATAAGAATTTGCTTAATTTTAAATTTTGATAAAGAAATAAGTTAGTATGTATTTCTTAAATATAAAAATTCTCAACTTACAAATTAATTCAAAAATTTTACTTGAGATACTATTATTATATTAATTAATTGTAATAAAATTCAACAAGTAAAGTTTTAGTTTACACAGCCGATTTCAGAAAACAAAATACATTGCGTCTATACAAGGTAAAGGACTGTCACTGTTACTGTCGTTCCTCACACACAAGCGCCATTACTTGCGATACCTGAAGGCGATATGAAAAGCAGCGGCGTAGAGCATGATACTTCAGTATGAAACTAACAGTAGGAAAGAGTGCTTCAAAAGTGAAAAAAAGAAGAAGAAAATAGAATACTTCATCAATTGCTGTATTCTTTCCTTTTGACAACCTAAAGTATCGTCGAATTAGTGAGATTTTGCAATTCTAAATGTTCTAAAGTGCGTCAACATGAATAAAAGTACAAATAACATGAAGCAGAATCCTAAGGAGACCGCAAATGTCTTCAGTCAACTCTTCTTCGGGTTTGTTTAGATCTTAAAACAATTTAATACAATTTTTATTACAAAGATAGTTACCATTCAGAAGAAAAATCTTTTATCCTCCGCAATGATAGTTTTTGCTTTTTTGAGAAAATAAAAACCTTGTCTTTTCCGGAAAAAAGAATAAAATTATTCTGTTCTGAATAAATTAAAATTACAAAAAAACAATTTGTACTTTTGGAAAAAAAACTCTTTCTTTTAGAAAAAATAAGAATCTGTATTTCTTCAAATAAATGACATCTTTTTCTCATTGTAAAGAAGAAAATTCTTGTCAAGTCAAAGATAAAGATAATTTATTTTAAACATATAACTAAGGCTCGTAACAGTTGTTCATGAAATAAATAAAGCAGAAAAACAAGCAATCAACAATTAGCTTTGGCTTATGATCCTCATTTGTTAACTTAATTATAATTTTTTTTCAAAAAAACTTTTATTTTGTTAAAAAGTTTTTTTCTAAAAAAAAGACAATTGTTTTTTTCTTTAAGAAAAAGCCCATTATACAACTTATTTTTTTATCTTATTTGAGTTTTATATTACATTTAAAAAAAATTAATAAAGCAGTCTGTAAATGAGAACTTAATCTAAGGCATCTACGTAATAATTCGTTCTTGATTTAAACAGGATCTATGCGATTTGCATTTAGTCAGGGTCTTATCATTTTTCTTGCATATGTATCAGTTAGCTTCTATCATTCTAAACTGGATATGAACAGTATCGGCATTATCATATCATAATGTATCACAGCGTTCTTGCATCAGAAGAATTTATTTTTTTCTAGACAACCTCGACCTCGAGCGAGTATTGCTAAAGAAAAAATTTGCGGTGAAAAATACATGTACACATACTTGCGGTGGAAATAGATAATATCCATGCGATATTCATCTAACTCTTCGATAAGTTTATCATTTTTGATGAAAAAAAGGGATTGTTTTGAGATACTTAGCATGTTATATATTTAAATTTATAATTGTGAACACTTATACATATATATGTGTTCAATATACCAATGTAGATTACGAATTCTTGTTACGCAAGTATGAAACTTGAAATTATTGTTTTTTTTTCTATTTTCTTTAAATATTAATTTTAATACAATCAAAATTTGAACGATTTTTTGAATATTGTACATGTACATAGTATTTTCTGTCCTAAATCTTATTTCAAATATTTAAAATTTTTGATTTAAATTTTTTGACTTATTTTATGTAGATAATCCTGCTAATCTGTGTAAAAAAACATTTTTATAATTATGTTATTACAGATGGACGCTAGGTTTATTTTTCAAAGGCGCAAAATCTGATTTAAATGAGTCTGATATTTATCGACCATTAAAAATAGATTATTCGGAAAAAGTAACGGATCATCTGGAAAGGTAAGAGAAAGAGAGAGAGAGAGAGAGAGAAAGAGAGAGAGAGAGAGAGAAGAGAAGAGAAAGAATCTTCTTATATTTTTGTTAAACATATAGTGTTATACAATTGAACACAGTTTATGCTATTAACATAAAAAATTTTTTAAATTATTGAAAATGAACAGTCATGATTCGATACAAAAGTTTCAACTCTCAAGTTTCCACTTTTCAATTAACTGATTTATATCGATTGGTAACCTTGCAGGTATGCATGTGTGTTGACACTGTGTTTAACTGGAATAATTTAGATCGCTGCTGATAACTACTAACACAATCATTATGTCTTAATCATATATTGATTTATACAGGGTGTTTCATAATGTTCGTCTAACCGCTCGTGTACAGATAGAATGCGGTAAACTAAACAGAAAAGTCTTTTACCGTTTTACAATTTTCGCAAATAATAATTGAGATATTAGAAAGGATTGATATGATAAAAAATATGTTTCAATCGACAAATTTGCTAGAATTATCGCCTTTGTTTAACGAAACATTTTGGAACAATGTTTAACGTTCTAATAAGCTTTTTCGTTCAGATGCTGGAATCGCGAGCTAGAAAAGCTGCAGAAGCTCGAATATACTGTGGGCAAAGACGGGCAGAAAGTACCCTTAAAAAACGCGCGTCCAAGATTGTACAAGGCACTCGTTCGCGCCTTTTGGGTGCCACACTTAGTCGTCGGAATCATCATATTCATTCAGGTAAATGTAAAGTTTTCACAAAAAAGTATCAAATAACTCCAATATTTAAACTGCTCATATAAAGAAAAAAAATTAATAGAAAACTAGTTAATCAATGTTATATACAAAATCTCACTCTTTCCGAATGTATTAACAGTGTTTACTTTATAACTCAGATGAAAGATTTGAACATATTGTATATTAGAATATTTCGAAGCAGAAACGTTTGAGTTTTGATAATTCGAACGTAAGGAATCGATGTGTAATTTTTAATGTTTAAAAATTTAAATAGTTTGAATATTAAAGAAAATTGGAGCAAAAATGGTATGCATTGCAAATAGAAAATAGACAAGTTTTTATCTCCTAACTTTGCGAAGATATTAACATCGCGTTATGAATATCGTCGCTTTTTCTACTGCACGTTTGTAAATGTGTAAAAGAAAAAGTTAAAATACGCGATTACTTTAATTCATCTAATGAATATAAAGTGAAACGTAATGTGTGCACGGAAGTAATCATTTAAAACGCGTTCGACTGCAACAACATTGAATAAACAATTGCAAACAGTTACATATAAATTCGCAACAAGTGCAAATGAGATAAGTATGCATTAGATGTAAAATTAGTAAGTTTTTATAATAGAATAGAGTTAATGAATTAAAGCAAATACGCGACGACGCGGCTTAGTAACTTATAAATAAAAAAATTTGCGTAACTTGGAAGAATTGCGAAGAGAATAGATCTTTCGAGAAATTATGAAAGTAACATTTGATGTGTTGTATATTTTATCAGATGTAACAATTATTAAAGAATGATCAATTTCAACGTGTTTGCTTTTAGATTTGCATATTCCGAATGATGTTGCCAATTTTGCAAGGTTGCATTATCAACCACTTCAATGTGAATTCAAACATAAAAAGCAAGGTGGGAAAGAATGAGGCGATGCTCTACATCGGCGGCCTGATTATTTGCACCCTTGTTACCGTCTTGATGATGCACCACGTGATGTTATTGTCGCAGCAGCTCGGCATGAGAATACGAGTCGCCTGCAGCTCGCTTCTCTACCGAAAGGTAACGCGATGAATAATTCGACACCCTGATCTATGTTTTTCTAAGAAAGTTATTAAACGTCTCTCTAATTGAGAAAAACACATCGTGACTTTGATTGCGCAACATTTCTATAGTGAAAAAACTGTTAGCTTAGCAATTACGTATCATTAGCATTGATGTTAAAAACTAACTTTTATGGGGATAATTTTTCGAACTTTTCATTGATTTTGTAACTTTTTGCAACTCGCAAATCAATAATTAAGGCAATATTAATCGAACTGCTGCAGTAATCGTCTCAGTGTTGCAATTATTATCGCTCATAGAAATAATAAATGAGCACTTGGGATTCAGCTTGATATCTTTTTCGTCAACCGTGTCCTTCGACTTCGGCTGATAGCACACTTCGGCTGATAGTCGGAATGACGCAGACTTTTCCGAGTACATTTGTTTTTCGAATTGCAAGAAACTACGTAAATAAGAAAAATAGGCAAATAGAAGAGAGCACTTTTCTCGTATCGCGATAAAAAAATAAAACATCATGCTATTGTCTAGCTGCGTAAAATGAGCTAATGAAAGAAATTAAATTAATTATAGAAATTAATTATTCGTATTGCACGGCTCGGCAATATAAAATTCTAAACTTATTATTTTAACATACATTTAATTTATTTAAAATTAGATTATTATGGATAATCGATTTACATAATGTCCGTTTATATAATAACCCATTTGGCAAAAAAAAGGAAGTTAGTAACAAAAAAAAAAAAAAAAACAATCTTGATTACATTAAGATTGTTCTTTTTTACTTAATCAAGATTGTTTACTAATTTAATTTTTTCTAAAATTTTAAATATTGCAGTTATTACGACTAAATAGAACGTCTCTGAGTCAAACCGGCGCTGGGCAAATTATAAACGTCCTCAGCAATGATCTCACTCGCTTCGATTTGTTATCAATGTACAGTTTCCTGAATTACTTATGGATTACGCCACTCCAGGTAATTTCATATTTTGCATAAATATTTCGACATGATTAATACTCTCTTAACTCTTCCGGAATTATAATAAAATCTTTTAAATTAATTAGTCTTTCAAGATTGATATTATTTTTGATAAGTGCACCACTTGCTAATTGAATTTGCATTAGCCATTTTTATTTACGTGCACACATTCACTTATTTTGCAGCTTTACTACAGATGAGAATGTGAAAGTCCATGTTGTAAAATTATAAAGTATTTCCACTTTTACAAAGTTATAGAGTAATTTGTTGAAATTGATTGCAACTTTTGTTCGCAGGTCATAATCGCGGGAACCATAATGTGGCAGAAGATAGGCATTTCCACCCTCGTTGGCATCGGATTGTTGATTATCACGCTTCTGATTCAGGGAAACTTTAGTCTTCTGAGCCACAGCATTCGAGCTATAATCGCGCCACTGACCGACCGAAGAGTACAGCTGATGAGTGAGCTCATAGCTGGAATACAGGTGCTTAAAATACTTTTTATACGAAGATGCCAATGAAAATCAATGCCAATTTTCGTATTTTATAAGAGATTTTGTGAAATCAGCTTGCAAATCTCTATTTCTTTTGCCAGGTGGTGAAAATGTATGCCTGGGAGAAGCCGTTCAGCAAGATCGTCTCGATGACTCGCAAATTTGAGATCGAGAAGATCAAGTTCTCGTCATACGTGCGCGCCGCGTACTTGGCCATCATCGTATTCACCGAGCGGCTCACCCTTTACTTCACCCTGATAACGTTCGTACTGTTGGGAAACGAGCTGAGTTCCGATTTAACCTATGTTCTGTCGACTTTCTTCAACATGTTGCAGCTCACCACCGTGATGTTCTTCCCCCAATCACTGATAATGTTGGGCGAGACGATGGTGTCCATAAATCGATTGGAGGTATGTTGTTGCATGTTTTTCAAATTTTTTGTAAATTCTTGAATTTTTTGTTTCTTGAATCTTTTTTACTGACGAAATCATTGTTATAAGACAATTATTATTGCTTGTCATTTCGAAAGCCATCGAGATTTCTTTATTACATTTTTACGTCGTCTGTGCTAAGTAATTTTAATCGACTCAAAACTGGTTGAAAGAATTTAGAGCAATAATTAGCATATTTAACGTAGTTTTTCTTGACTAATAAAATAAAAAAAACCTTTTTGATATGAAAAATAGAGAAAAAAGTAAACAATTTAATCTCTCATTAGCTCTTCTCTTACATTATGATTATGCGCGATTTTGTTGAATTACTTTCGTTATGAGACCAAGTAGTTTTCTGATTATTTGATCGCATATAATTCCTGCATTCAATCTACAGGAGCTCCTGTTGATGGACGAAGTAAACTTGGATAAAACGTCACAATTGTCTGAAAAATCGAACGGCGCGGAGAATCAGGAAGACAAGTACATCTCGAAGAACGGAATGCTTGAGACTCAAGAATTGTCCGATCGTCCGGTTTGTATAAAGCTTCAGCGTGTTTCCGCCAACTGGATCAACGGGCAACTGCCACCGACTCTGTGTAACATCTCCATGACCGTTAAACCGGGTGAACTGTGCGCGCTGGTCGGCGCTGTCGGCTCCGGCAAGTCGTCCATGCTCCAATTGCTGTTGAAAGAGCTGAATCCCGGCGCGGGCTGCGTGCTCTTCACCCATGAATCGTCGCAAAACGACGTGCAGAGCAAAGCATCCAGCAGCTACTTATCGGACAACCCGAATTTGCGTATCTCTTACGCCAGCCAGGAACCTTGGCTCTTCGGTGGCACCGTAAGAGATAATATACTGTTCGGTCAGGCCTACGACAAGACTAGATACACTCAGGTAATTGCTGGCATCTTTGAATTTTTGAGACCTTGAATCCTTCAATTCTTGAGTGTTTGTATTGTTATATTATTAAGAAAAAATTCTCTAAAAATTTTAACTTGGTTTGTGTTTTAAAATTTTTACATTTTTTAATTTTTGGATTATTAGAAGTTAATTGTGCCATTGAAGAATACTGTCGTTTAAAGAACATCTTTCAATTTTATGTTTCTCTTCTTTTTGATTCTTGATTTTGTAACGTTTTCTAATGTTTCTTAATTCTTGTGATTAATCGATGGTTTCAGGTTGCAAATGTGTGCGCGTTGACAAAAGACTTCCGGCAGTTTCCACAAGGCGATATGACGATAGTCGGTGACAGAGGTGTGTCCTTGTCCGGAGGCCAAAGAGCACGAATCAATCTCGCTAGGGCGGTTTATAGACAAGCAGACATCTACTTGTTGGACGATCCATTGAGCGCGGTGGATACTCACGTCGCAAAACATCTTTATAAAAAGTGTATCACTGAGTATCTCCGCGGCAAGACGAGGATCCTCGTCACCCATCAACTCCAATTTCTCAAAAAAGTGGATCACATCGTCGTGCTGGATCGAGTAAGCACCACATTGAATATAATTTGAATCTCCAAACGGTACTTTAATCCTCCAAAAATTATACTATTCTAAATTTCCACATTATTTTATAGCAAAATTTTATTTTTCAAAAATTCAAAAAATTTCACAAAAAATTAATTCACGCTAATTAGTGTTGCTAAATGCAATGTTATTAAACTAATTATTTTCAAATTTCCTAGTTAAAAATATAGTAAGAGATATTTGATATTTAAGCGAGAAATATTTCATAATTAATTTAAAATTAAATCAAAATTAAAAAATACAGAGATTATATCGAGACTTAAACGTGCTTTATGAGTTTTGTTTAATTTTGTTTTTCAAGGGTTTTATAAAGATGCAAGGCGAATACAGTGAATTAGTAGAGTCAAATAAAGATTTCATTCAGATGATGGATAGCTTGGAGACAAGCCACGAGCAGAAAAAAGAAGAGAATGCGAGAAAAGTCTCTGAAATGTCCAAAAGAATCTCGATATTGACGAGACGTACTTCGACATTATCAATCGCAAGTTCCACTGTAAGACAATCATTATTGTTTGTCATTTTATAGAACTATAAATATTTCTTTAAAAAAAGAATTAAATTAGGTTTAAATTTTTGAAAATCTGAAGATTAATTTAATTTTACTAAATTCAATAGTCTTAAATATTATTGCATGATATTCTTAATAATTTATTTTTTTCTAAAAAAATTAAGCATGATGATTGACGTATGTAGATTTTTTTTGTTTATTTAGAGTATCGAAAATTTTAATTACTGAAACTATATCGATTTTAATCTGAGCCTACATATTATTATTGTATATGATTATTATTTTGTCATCACGCAGTACTCGGAAATTGACGATTTAGACAACACGGAAAACAGTCCGGACGGCGAAGAGATGATGCACGGTCATCTATCTAGCACAGTATACAAGAAATACTATCGTCATGGCGGCAACTACTTCATCCTGTCTGTGCTGTTGCTGTTCTTCGTCATTAGCCAAATTGCCACGACCGGAAATGATTACTGGGTCTCGTACTGGACCAACGTGGAGGAGATAAGGCAAAGCGAAAACATCACTAACGCTACTAAAATCAATAACTCGCAAAAGAATATACGCAACAACAGCTTCCTGAAATTGATTTTCACGCTGAATCCGGACGGTCTACTCAGCACCGTCGATGCTATTTACGTTTACACATTTTGCATCTTTATCTGTACCGTTACCGTGCTGTTCCGCAGTTTCCTCTATATGAAAATCTGCATGAATACCAGTTGCAATTTGCACAACCTTATGTTCTCCAACCTGTTGCAAGCGCGCATATCCTTCTTTCACACTAATCCTTCTGGTGAGTGTAATTGCACAATCTCTCAATAAAAAAGACTAAGAAATTAATTTTTTTGGAAAATTTGATGTCTCTGAGAAATTTGAAATGTATATTTTCAATTAGTGAAAATCAGAAGATTAATTTAATTTTGCTAAATTCAATATTCTTGAATATCATTGTGTGTGTGTGTATAATATCCTTAATGATTTATAATAATCTGTAATTCTCCGACAAAAAAAAATACAGCATGACAATTGGCGTAGATCCTTTTTTGTACATATAAAGCATCAAAAATTTAAATTCTCAAAATTATATCGTTTTCAATCCTTAGAAGACAAAATTAGACGCATCTTTTATGTATGATTTTTAATTATATCTTCTATAAATTTTTTATGCATTTTCTAATTATGTCGTAAGATTCCTTTTTTTTCTATGTAGCATTTGTTGCGTTTTAGGGAGAATATTAAACAGATTTTCGAAAGACATTGGCACAATGGATGAGCAGCTGCCCAGAGTGATGTTAGAAGCGCTACAGATCACTATCGTAATTTGCGGTATATTAGTTATGGAGGCAATAATTAATCAATGGATGCTGATACCGATAGCAATAATAATTGTTTTGTTCTTTCTGGGAACAAAGTTCTATCTCAGGACGGCTCAGAACGTCAAGCGTCTCGAAGGCATAGGTAAGTATTGAGAAAAATATGAAGGAAAGTCAGAAAGAGACATTTTCAACTGATTCGAAAAAAATCCCTTTTTGATTTTCCTTTGTAATTCTCTACTAAAACAGAAGAAAATACACGCATCATCTTTTATGGTCCTTAGTTCCTAAATTCTTAGAATCTTCTGTGCCCGGTTTTATTTATCGAGCTTGGAACTTTCTTGAAGCTAAATTGTATATCTATAAGATTTTTAAATACTGGAGTCTTGACTTTTATAATTATTCAATGTCAGTTTGAATCTTAATTTCTTGAAATGGATATGTGGATTGGAAAACAAATTTCATGTTCAATGTGTCTTTTTTTTCCAGCCAAGAGCCCCTTGTTCTCTCACGTGAACTCTACGCTAAATGGTCTGCCGACGATCAGAAGCAGCGGTGTCAGCATCGAGAAAATGATGATGCAGCAGTTCGACGTGTTGCAGGACTATCACAGCGGTGCGTGGTATCTCGTCCTGGCCTGTGGCTCGGCGTTTGGTCTTGCCCTGGATTTAATCACGTGTTTGTTCATCGCCTGCATTTGCTTCTCCTTTATTCTATCAGATGGTAAATCTTTTAGTCTTAGAATGTTCATCCTTATTCGTTTCCTTTGTGATTGGTGTTTTGGAAAATGTGACAATCAATGGAGTTTTATGACTTTTTCGAGCCTTCATGGTTTGTTAGTAGCTTATGTGAGCTTTTATAAAATATCTTACGTGCTCGCGTAAGAGCTGTAAATTTTAAGCTGTTGAAAAAATAAAATAATATTTTTAAATTAAAAAAATTAATATTTTTTATATTCTTTAAAGTGAGAAACAATGTGACCAGACAAAAAGAAATCAACACATAAATTGTAATATCTTGCATTATATTTACAATGTTATGCTCCATTAATTTTCAGTAATTCCATCAATCGGAATCTTCGATTCTTTATAAATCTTTTTGTCAATACCAGGTATAATCGACATTCCCAGCAGCGAAGTAGGATTGGCGATCTCGCAATCATTGATCTTGACCGGTGCTCTGCAATACGGTCTAAAGCAGATCGCCGAGACGTTCTCGCTGATGACATCTGTGGAAAGGGTCCTTCAATACACGAATCTTCCTACAGAAGGGCCTATTAACTCGGACAATCCTCCGCCGCCCACGTGGCCGGCTCAAGGACGATTAATCTTCAAGAACGTCAGCATGAAGTACGACAAGAATGACCCACCTGTTTTGAAGGTAAGCTGACTAATTATATAATTGAGATTGCGACATCATTGTCTGTATGCTTCATCATCGTCGCTTTGCAGAATCTGAACGTGTCTATCGAGCCCAGCTGGAAGGTCGGTGTGGTGGGTCGCACCGGCGCCGGCAAGTCTTCCTTGATTTCGGCGCTCTTCCGCTTATTCGACGAAGGCCTGGATGGCGAGATCAGGATCGACGGCCGAGACACGAGCACGGTGGGCCTGCGGGATCTGCGTTCTAAGATCTCCATCATACCGCAGGAGCCGGTGCTCTTCTCGGAGAGCCTGCGCTACAATCTGGACCCGTTCAATCAGTTCGACGACATGATGCTGTGGGAAGTGCTGCGGAAGGTCGAACTGAACGACTGCGGTTTGGATCAAGACGTTCTTTCCGGCGGTCACAACTTCAGCGTCGGTCAGAGGCAGCTCATATGTCTGGCTAGAGCCATCCTGAGAAATAATCGCTTGCTCGTTCTCGACGAGGCTACAGCTAACATCGACTCGCAGTGAGTGTCGACGATTCTTGATAGTTTTTGCCAGTTTGCAATGCTTGCGATTTTGAATGTTGTTCGATAAACAGATAATTTTTATTTGATTAATCGACGTAGTTGCAGTGAGTATTAATTATTAAAATCAAACAGAGGCTTGATATGATAAATATCACTGATGTATATTGTATAATCGGCTTAACAGCCATCTCTGGTTGTCGGTGCGAAATAAATTTTATTTTTTATATAGAAATTATTCGTCTACGAAGAAACATTAATCTCTTAAGTATCTCAGATTGAGCCGTTTATATACATTAGTGATAAATTATTAATTTTTTATTAAAAAATGATTAATTTCCTAAATAATTAAATATTTTTTAGAATAAGAGATTTTAAATAATAAATGGAAAATAATTAAATCTGAAAGTTTTGAAAAATGAAATTCTTTCGAATTGCATTAAATTTCTAGCCAAAATTTACAGCGCACAACTGTATGTTTGCGATTGTAAATTTTTTTCCATTTCCAGCACCGATGCCATAATTCAGAATACGATAAGGAGTAACTTTAACGAATGCACTGTCATCACGATAGCGCATCGTTTGAATACCATTATAGACAGCAATCGCATCATTGTGATGGAAAACGGTTATATTGTGGTACGTTTTAAATGTAAATTTTGTTTTAATATAAACTTTTTTTATCATAAATATATATTATAATTTTCAAAAATATTTAAAATATATATTTCGAAATATTCGCAAAAGATTGAAATAATTAAAAAAGCATATGTAATAATTTTTTTCAGCACTTTATAATTTTGCTTTAAAAGATTTTTATATAACAATTGTAACTATTTCTTTGTTCAACAATCCTCTAATCTATAGTTTTCAAAACATAATAATTTTGCCTTTATACGTATATATTTTAAGAAAATAAAGAAATTTTATACGTAGCTCACGTCACAGTCTCTAGAATGTTATCTCTTTGAGGCAAAAGTAATTATAATATTCTAATATTCCATTTATATCTACGCGTGTCCGTGTAAAAGAAATCAGTGTTGCAAAAAAAAAAGAATAATCTCAAGTATTCTCAGATTTCTAAATATTTGATAATCAAACTTATATTCATCAACAGGAATTTGGCTGCCCATATGAACTGTTGCAAAAGCCAAACGGTTATTTTTCGCAAATGGTGGAAAAAACAGGCAGTCAGATGGCACAGAGTCTTTTAAACCAGGCGAAGAAAGCCTGCCTCAAAAATAACGATCGGTGTTATGTGGATCCGTCGACACAGAGCACGACCGAAAGTGACGTTACAATAACTGAACAATCTGCCTTATAGACTAAGAATAGTTGCGACTAACGAAAGGCATATTAAATGCAATCACTATAATTTTTGCAAATAATATTGCTATACATATGCTCTTCTATTATTGCTGCGAAAAGTGCAAGTTTCCAAAAAGAGGAATAGTAACGACGATGAGAAAGAAGATGACAAAGATTAAAATTAAGATATCTCGCTAATATTCCTACAACATTTTTTTCTTGAATTTTGTGTTATTGTAATTGTAATATATATAAATTATTTATTATAAAAATGAAATTAAGATTAGAATAAATATTATTCTCCGTGTTATTTCTCTGTAATAGAGCTGGGGTAAAGAGCCTTTCTTTCTTTGCCAGAAAGATGTTCGATTTTATAAAGAAATATTATAAAAGATGTCGAATATAAAGACAAGGATATTATTTTTGAAAATCTATTTTCCTATAAGATTTTGTAATATAAAAATCATTATAACAATGTAGAATAGCAATAAAGATATAGAATAAATAAAAAAATAAAAATTATTAACATTTCTAAGGAATAATTTCATGCGCACACAAGAAAATGTTCAATCACAAATAAAAATCATACAACAGAATGATTTAATTAAATATTAATCCCATTTTTAATAGTTTCTATTTAATAGTAAATAGCCAAAAAACATTTTAAGACAATGTAAAACATTTTACATATGTACATCACGTATACAATGTATACCACAGACGAATCATATCAGCTGTATTAATAACAGAATCTTGAGAGATGTCCTTTAGCAAGATGTCATAAAGAGAATCATTTAGAAATGAAAAATTTTATGCCAAAATGTCGAGAGCATAGTAATTTTTAAATAGAAAGTGTTTAAACATTAATTGTTAATATTAGACTCGTCGCATATTGATTTTCGTATCATTATATTTATTGTACCATATAAGAAATCTTAAAAATCTGTGATTAACTAATAATACTGTTAGTCTGGAACATTTTACCTATATTTTACATTATTTTGAAATCTATTTTCTTAATGATATTAAAATAACACAAGTTGGCTTTGACTTACCGGCACGATGCGCTGCAGCAGAGTTGTTCACAAGTTAATCTGTAACATACAAAGTACATTCAAATTATACCAACATTGAAAATAATTATACTTGAGAAATAATTATCACGCACATTAAATTACTACTCATCTTTTGTGCAAATATACAATAAAAGAATTGTATATTTATATCTAATAAAATTCTCTCTCAAAAAAAGCATGTAAATTTTCATCGCTTTTCCGCAATGCTGATTGACTATCTCATGCGCGTTGTACGTTGTTTCATATCTTAAGAAAGTTAGTAGTATATTGCATTTAAAAGTGAAACTAAACAACGTAGGTTTTTTTGCTTAAGTAGTTTCATTAATTTTTATATATGAGTTATACGGTTTGTGTTTGCTACATTTTTTGGTGTTTTATAGAAAATATTGAAATTGTATTCTTTGAATCTTGACACATTTCCAAATTTTATTTTATTCAAAAATCTGTACATAATATTTTTTACAATTTATAAACTTGATAATTAATTATTTAGCTAGAAATTAATTCCTTTAATTTATAGATTTAAATCAAATCTCACATCTGAAAATTTGTAATTTTATAAAAATTGATAGACTGCAGAAATGTTAAATTTTTATATGTAAAATTTTATAATTTACATTAGAATTATAATTTCTTAACAAATTTTGTATTACAATAATTAAACACAAATTGAAAATTCATTTTTCGTATTCTATGAAGATTCTCAAGATTAACCGATTATGTATTAATCGAAACATTTCTTATTCCACGACCTCTTGAAAGCTATGTGTATTATGTGTTTATTATATCAATCCTTCATTGCGCTACGCATGAACTTGCCGAGAGATACGACCGCATGATCAATTGCCAATGTCCTTCTTATTGTCAGTATGAAGAGATCACTCAAAACAGTAAGATCGCGATTAAGTTTATATTTAAATTTAATTCTCGTGATTCGAAATAGTGTTAGCAATACTATTGTTACAAAGTGTTATTTGTTAACAATTTTCATAAATAAAAGTGAGTAACGACAAACAAAATATTTCTAATTAAAACTGTATACAATTTCAATTTATTAATTCGGTCAAAATCACCTCTTTTTAGCATGAATAAAAATTTTAATGTTTTGTTTAATTTTTTTTCTATTTGATTTATAGTAGCAATAAGTGAACTAAGATTCACGTAACAATTAATTATTAACTGATTCAATGTAAAATTTACTTATTAAACACATGTCACACATTACAGAAATCCTTATTTTTCAATTATCTTATTCTATAAAATAAAATTTGACAATTAAATATTTAGCTAGAAACTTATCCCTTTACATATATTGCACAATACGAGTATACTATATATTAAACATATGCACAATAAAATAAACAGCAAATGTTAAATTTTATTGTTAAAGAAAAATATATATGCCGCACCAAGTGGGACAAAAACATCCGTTTATGTTTAAATTTTATTTGATTTAGTTTGATAATGAAACAATATATTTAAAAATATTAAAAATTTGTTTTTGTCG